CGTCATCATTCACGCCGTTTTTATTTCAGAATGATCCATTAACTATCAATTGCGACTTCAACAGCAACAAATCAGTGAAAAATATTAAAGAAGTTTTGAAAATTTGATACAATTTCATTGCAGGAAAAATACATCGAATCAACAAGTCGAGAAAGAAGGTTTCCATGTCATTCAAATCGACTGTAATAAAGTTTTCAAAATGTGTTCATTCAGCTTCTTCAATATTGTTGTGTATTTTGAGTTTCTCTGTTGCTTGGTACGCGCTTTTCTAGTGCTTCCTCGTCATTATCTATTATATAACTGCGAATGTGGTTAGTTGATGGCAATGCCCTTGTCTCTTCTGGGTATCATTAACTCGTTCGGTCTTCAGGAAAATTTCCAAACTATCCTATGATAGATGAATACAATTACTTCGCTCAGATTGAAGAGACAAATCTATAATTCTGGACGACCGAGAGTTGGAGTAGGTGAAGTGGGTGGTATGGGTCGCTCTTATTGCTGCGGTGGTTATTATGACTACGGATCTGGCACGTACGGTGGATATGGCCGCGGATGGAGAGGATACATGCACAAATACGGTGGTGGCGAGAATAACAACTGCGGCGGTACCAATATTGGAAGCATAAACTCTGAGAACATAAAGAGGAACAGGTGAATTCATATTTGTATTCGATTCGTTTTACGCAGTAACGCAGCGTGAACAAGGCGTGGAATTGGCTGAAATCTTCTTACAATTAGTCAGTAAAATTCAGTAATCATCTTACTATTTTTGATTTAGTAAACCATTTCAATATTACTGCCTCTATCCATGTTAATTTTAAATTTAACAATAACAATTTTAAATGCTTATGCCATTTCATTTCCGGACTCTCATCAGTCGTTAACGTTTGGTCAATTCTGAGACAGATGATCAAAATTTTTACGAAGGAAAATGAAATAACACAAGATCTTCAACTGTAGGTTCTGATCATTTGATTGAATCCATGACTTAGAAACAGATATCAGGAATTTAGCAGTC